GTAAATAAAATAAAGTAAATAAAATAAAGTAAATAAAATAAAGTAAATAAAATAAAGTAAATAAAATAAAGTAAATAAAATAAAGTAAATAATGAAATGAAATAAAATAAATAGATAAATAAAAGACGGTAATAAAATAAAAATAAAGTAATGTGAAATAGTAAAATAAATAATGAAATAAAAATAAAATAAATAATAAATAATAAAATAAAACAAAACAAAACAAATAAAATAAAAAATAAAAGAAATAAAATACGGTAATAAAATAAAAATAAATCAAAGTGAAATGGTGAAATAAATAATGCAATAAAATAAAATAAAAAATAGAATAAAAATAATGAAATAAAATAAAAAATATGGTAATAAAATAAAAATAAAATAAAACAGTAAAATAAATGAAATAAAAATAAAATTAAAATTAAAATTAAATTTCTTCCCTTTCCTCTGGATTTTTAAGCACCTTTGGATGAGGAAAGAAGACAATCGAAGCCTTAAGGCATTAACGGATGTGCAGTATAAAAAATATAAAACATTGGTTAAAAAATCCCCAAAGGGCTGGAATTTCACAAAAAGATTTTAAAACCTATCTTTTTTTATTTATTAAATTTATATGTCATCCATCTCACTATTGAGCAACTCTTTAAATAGTTTTACTTTACACATTGGCACACCCAGCATCATGCAGCGTAAGATGAAGGTATCCAGTGCTAGGAAAGATGACCAACCCTATACGAAGCCATAAAGTTTGAATTCAGGTTAGGTTTAATGGAATTCAGGGGGCGTAGCACTCGTCCTACAAACTATCCCTTTTGGCTTCAGCAGTCTCACTGCCAACAACCTCCAAAACAATTTCCTGACTGGAGTGAAATCTCGTTCTCTCTCTCCCACAGGTTATATCCCCCCGCCACCTCAGTTAACTAATCCCTTTGCAAGAAATCACAATACCAGTTCAGGGGTTTGGGCAGAGAGTGAAACATTTGGAAACATCCTCAAACCCTCCTTCAATGATGGATTTTCAGGAAGGCTCCACACAGAAGGGACACAGTTTCTAAACCCACATCAATTAATAGCTTAATTTTGGATTATGAAGCAAGTTCCTGGTGAAATAGCTCAGACACAATGGACAAGACTGAAAAATCCAAACTAAATTAACAGATTAACAAAGTTGGAAGGGACCTTGGAGGTCTTCTAGTCCAACCCCTTACTCAAGCAGACGACCTTATACCAGTGGTTCCCAACGTGAAGCCCAGGCACCACAAGAGGGAAATCTGATTTTTAATGGGAGCAATTTCAACCTCTTTTAAGTTAATGGTCTTTTAGACTTCCTCCATGTGAGTAGAGTTCATTTTTTGAGTAAAGTAAGAATTATATGTCACTGGGGGAGGGGGGGATCAGGATTTTAAAGATGCTTAGGTAGGGCATGACCCAAGAAAGGTTGGGAACCACTGCCTTATACCATTCTGGACAAATGGCTGCCTAATCTCTTCTTAAAAAATCTCCAATGTTGGAACATTTACAACTTCTGGAGGCAAGCTGTTCCACTGATTAATTGTTCTGTCAGGAAATTTCTCCCTAGTTCTAGGTTGCTTCTTTCCTTGATTAGTTTCCACCCATTGCTTTGGAGAATAGCTTGACTCCCTCTTCTTTGTGGCAACCCGAGATATTGGAACACTGCTATTATCTCACTCCTGGTCCTTCTTTTGATCAAACTAGGCATACCCAGTTCTTGCACCCATATATATTTTATTCTCCAATCCCCTCATCATCTTTGTTGCTCTTCTCTGCACTCTTTCTAGAGCCTCAACATCTTTTTAATATTGTGGCGGCCCAAATTGGAATGCAAGTGTGGTTCTACCAAGACATTATAAAGTGGCATCAACATTTCACATGATCTTGATTCTATCCCTCTGCTGATGCAGCCTAGGACTGCACTGGCTTTATTGGCAGCTGCAGCACACAGCTGGCTCATATTCATGTGATCGTCCAGTAGGACTCCAAGATCCTTCCCGCAGTTACTACTGTTGAGCCAGGTACCACTTATTCTATACCTGGGCCTTTGGCTTTTCTTGCCTAAATGTGAAACCTTGCTTTTCCCTGGACTGAATATCATTTTTTACAAAAAATGAAATTCATTTTTTAAAATTTGGTTTTTAAAAACCAAACTTGATCGGGAAACAGCAAAATTCCAGAGAAAGATACAGTTAAGGGCATGACGACTGGCCAATCCTTCCTGGGAACAATTCACAGACATGACGAGTGGGCTTACTCTCGGTGTACTTCAGCGAGCGAAAGACTTTTCTTTGTGGCGTGACCCGTTTGATATTGGGATGGTCTTCCAGCGTCTGCACTCCAACTTTCTGATGTTCGTCGATCTGGATCACTTCAAAGTCACTGGGGTAATCGCTGGCTGGGTTGTTGCGTGGTACAATCCTCCAATTTTCTATCTCGCTGCTCTTCAGCGCTCGTGAGATAAACTTGCTTCTCGCTTGGGCTGAAAAGTAGCCATTGAACGCCACGATATATTCTGGAAAGGGACCCCATTAGAAAAATACACATTAGAAAAAAGCAAAAGGAAACCATACAGTTATACAGGTGTCCAACATCTTTTACTGGAACAAGTTCAGGAAGGGCCACTAAATCAATTCATCTAAGGAGACACGGAGGGAAATTGTTCTTGAAAACAAGTGTCAGCCCTCCTTGATAAGGCAGGCAGAAGACAGGACCGGATGAGCTACTTTAGCTCTTTTATTGTAAGACTATAGTAACAGTGCCTCTCTCTCAGCCCAACCGATCTCACAGGGTTGTTGCAGGGAAGGTGTGTTGAATATGTTCACTACTAGCAATAGCAATAGCAGTTAGACTTATATACAGCTTCTTAGGCATTTCAGCCCTCTCTAAGCGGTTTACAGNATATATATATATATATATATATATATGTATATATATAAACCACCTACCCATACAAAGGACCATCATTTCCAATTGCAGAGACCATGATAACGTTATTGGCTGTCAATTCCCATACCTTGGAAATGAAAATATTCAGATGTTAGAAAACCAGGGATTAGCTACATTAAGGCTTGATATTCAGAGAACATTATATTGTAAAGCAATCTAGGTTTGACTGTATGGATACAATCTCCCCGTGTTGTTATTACTTTGTGTAAAACCAAAGTTTCTATTAAACTAAATCTTCTGAGACGAAAGGAGAAACAGTCTAATTGTTATTATTCTCTTTTCCCATCCCATCCCCTACCAACCTTGTCTACAAACGGATGGTCCATAAAATCTGGGCCTCCAATGCTAAGGTTCAACACGTCGATCTTCTTCAAGATAGCATAGTTAAAAGCATCCAAAAACCAAGATGTATATGAAACCTGTTTAAAACATGAAACAGATCTTAATATTAAGCATAACAACAATAACACCCCCATTTCTGCCTTGCCCCAGCCCTGCTGAAGCCTGTTGGGGGCTGAGGGAAAGCAAAAAAGCCTCTGTTTTTGTGAAAAACAGCCAGCTTTTTGCAAAAATTGGATGCGGAGGGGACAAGGCCTTTGGGAGGCTAAAAATGGCTGTATTCGGTGTATAAGACACACCAACATTTCCATGCTCTTTTAGTGGGGGGAGGTGTGTCTTATACTCTGAAAAATATGATAGCTTCCATGACTTGGATGGATTGGTCCTCCTCAGTCTTAGTCTATCTCCTTAAGCACTGTGCTATATATTGGTCCTCTCTTTACCTGATTGTTAGTGAAGACCCTGAATATGTGGAGTTCGGAGTCCGGAGCAAATCCTTGGCATTCTCTCATGCTAGCGATCACGCCTGCAACAAAGGTCCCGTGGCCCAAGCCTGTTGACGAGAAGCAATTAAGTAAGATATAGTAAGGTACTTTGATGTGTTGCTGTCTGGTCAATTGTGGCTAGGGAAGAGATAATTTTCTGGCGAGAAAGAAAGATGAAAGGAGGAAATGCAGGCGGTTACCAGTTACGACCACCATTGAGCCCAAATTATCTGTTGCTAAACGAATATTTTTGTTCAGTGAATTTTGCCCCCACTTAACACCCTTTCTTGCCACAGTTGTTAAGTGCAGTTGTTAAATTAGGAACAAGACCGTAAAGTGAATCTGGCTTCCCCATTGACTTTGCTTGTGAGAAAGTCTCAAAAGTGATCACATGTTCTGACGTAGGCTTCGCAAATGGCAAAACAGACTCCTTGTCGTCGTCCCCCCCCCCCTTTTTATTTGGCTAATGTAAATTTCTAGCATTCTCATCCAGCAAAATCCTGGCAAACAGTCCTTCAAGAGTGAATTGCAACAGACCAATAGACCTAGAAGCTTCTTCAGCTCTGGGGACATCGATAAACTTCTAAGGGCATCAATGACCCTCTAAAAGGATGCAGATTACAAGCTGTCTGCAAGGAATATAAATCCTTCCATTCCCCACCATCAGGTCAGAGCTGAAGCAAAAGGTCTTCAAAAGGGAAAAAACCAAGGAAGTCCAGTTGCCTCCTGAGAAAAAAAGCCCCTTTGGGACAATCACAACCTGGATGGCTGAGAATATTTACAGACTTTTAGCTATAGAATTTGGGATGAAGACCCTTGGAATGGCGTGGGAATAAGAATGGATTTCCAGAGGGGAAAAAATGCAAACTACAGGAACCATTTGCACCACTCAGGTGACCCTGAGGACACAAATGAACCTCCAAGTGGCCTCAACAACCTTCTAAAAGGATGCAAATGACCAGCTGTCTGCAAGGAAAATAAATCCTTCCATTCCCCACCATCCGGTCAGAGCTGAAGAAGCTTCTTGGATGCGAAGTGAAAAATGTTCAAAGAAAAACAAAGAAAAACAATAAAGTTGCCTCCTGGGAAAAAAAGAACCTTTGGGACAACTGGTTAAAAGAAAGCTTCAGTTTTTGTTTTTTTTACCATCATCCAAAGTTCTCTCGTTTGTCCAGTTTGTCCTCTCTTTTACATTTTTGAAGTGTGGATG